GCTAACTAGCACACCCAAGGTGACAAGGAAACAATTAATTCACCCGTTAATGTTTACCAGGGATTCATTTGTGATTATCTTAGTTTTGGTAATTATGATTGACAATTACATAACTGTGCCTGAAATGTCATTGCTGGTTTGGCTGGTATTTTAAAAATATGATCTGATGGTTCATCTGATGATGAAAATCCAAAGTGATTACAAATCATACCCATGGTAAAAAAAACAAAAACAAATAAAAATAAGGGTAATTTATCAAATAACTGTTAAAACACTTTACTCAGAGCCATACGTTCGAACCTTAATAATAATAATAATATCCATCCATCCATTCGCTTCCGCTTATCCTTTTCAGGGTCGCGGGGGGCGCTGGAGCCTATCCCAGCTGTCATAGGGCAAGAGCAGCAGCAGAGCAGCTAAAAGCTCTGCTTCCCATGGTGGGTTGTGCTACGAGAAAAGCCAGACTGGGTGAGTAGGAATCATTCACCCTGATGCAATCTGTTCATTATTTTATGCCAGGCCAACAGATATTAAGATAAACTGACTGGTACTTACATAGCACTTTTCTAATAACAATATAAGATGACAATAAGATGAAATAAGATGAAATGTTTAATTCTTGAAACATAATGACTATATATTATATTTCAACAACATTTCAGTTGTTGTTCAGATGTTGTCAATCAAAAACCACTCAAGAGACAGTATCCACCCCAGAGTCAGATCACTAGGTAGGAATCACTACAGGATTCTTGGATGTCAGTCAGGATAGCAGATTGTTATTCTTATATTCATGAATTTAAGGAGGTCACACCTTGTGGCCTTTTCATATGGCTAGAAGAAAGAGAGAAGTGAGAGGACAACAGTACATAACAGAAAAAAATATTGATCACATCAGACACAGAATGAAAGAAGAAACAGGGTGGAGGCTGATTGCAAAGTCAACTGTAAGCAGGCAAAAGCAACTTAAAAAGTGTGTCATATATGCGGTTTTCCAGTTGAAGGTTAGAGCGGTGTATCGGCTAAGCCATCAGCTGGTGTGGGCTAGCAGTGAGCTGCCAGACTGAGCGCAGCAACTTAAACAAATGCCATGCTCAATTTCTCAAGTTTTAGTTTAGGTTTTTCAAAGAGAGAGAGAGTAGGTGGATTCACTGGAAGTTAGTGACCAGAAGAGCTCTTCACCAGAATCAAAGTTATGATAAACACTGACAAGTTCAATATTATTCCTGCTAAAATCTCTTTGTTTAGTCATAGATTTTTGTATATAACATTCTAACAAACCACAATTGTTGTGCAATGGTAATTGGTTTCTGTCACATCTGTTACTCTATCCAGTTCTTTCAAATGTTGTGCTTATGTAAGGCAAGGACTGGGCAGGATACTGAAACAGACACAGAGACGGGCAAATGTACTCCAAGAGTCATCTGCTCGCTCTCACTTGCCAATGCTGGCAGTCAAATCAGCTTTTGAAACTGACTTTTATCCTTCTCTTTACCTTGAATCAGAAACCCTGTCTGTCTGTATGGTAAAGATGCTTGATGAGCTTTAGAGTTGCATGGATCAATAATATAACAGTCAAAATACTAAATATTTTGTAAAATAATACGACAAGTAATGGCAAGGGTTGAGCTTGATAAAAAGCATACTCAGTATTCCTAAATCAGTGTAAAGTTTAGCTGTTAGACTGATTGACTTTAAGAATAAACATAATCCCCAATAAGGCACATTATAAATCACAAATCGTTGACAAATAATTGCTCTCCTTTTGGATGATTAGGCATCTTAGCAGCGATCTTTCTAACTGATGCCACAACCACTCCAAGTTACAGCATCTTTTCAGTTAAGTTAATGAGCAGCAGCTGCTAAAAATACCGTGGTTAAAGGTCACACGGGAGGCACGGAGTACAAGTGGCATAAGGCCAACAGGTCAGCCTACCTGACATGACGAGTTCACAGTATGTGTAAATAATTAAAATCGGTGATGTTAATTGTAATGATGTGCACCAATAAATTTTTGCTCAAGGTTACACCGACAGCATCTCACACTGTTGGAAATTGATGTAATTGGCTCAGCATCTGAACTAATGGAGTTACTGTTAGCAACAAACACTGCAAGTCTGTCTAAATTTAGCACCATGATGAAGACTGTGTTGCTAAGAGGTAGTTAATACCATGGTGCTGTAATACAATGGGACAAGTCAGCAATCCCTTTGAGAGACAATACTGACTGTCTATATAAAGTGCTTGCCTAAATTGTCACCAGATTAGCTATAAGGGGCTTATGTGGACGTATGTGACATCACACAACCAAAGGTTAAAAAAATAAAATAAAATAAACAAACCGAGAGAGACTTAAAATGGTGTATGAACATAAACTATTATAAAGCTAGTCACTGTGGTGCCTTTAGAAACACAAGCCCTAAAGAAAAAAATTCTTCCCTCGCAATAAACATGAAGCAGTAATTTTGAGTGAAATGTAATTGAAATATATTATATCAAAGTTGTTGTTTTTTTAAAATATTAATCATTAAGGAAATGTACTTGCTATAAACTGAAAGTATAGCAATCAAGTAAAGTTCAAATCAACAGATTTCATTACATTTAACACTTAAAATTAGACTTATAATTTAGATGTAGTTAAATTTGTTAAAGTTAGCATTTTGGAGAGTGTGTTTGTACCACTTTTGCGTCCATGTTTTCCATCTTTTTTAAACAAAAAATTTTTTGTCTCATGTTTTAAGTTTTAACTTTCTATTCCACTTTTAATTTTGTCATGAAGGCTCTCAATGATATCAAGGGTCACAATCTAGATTTCTGCTGGACCCCAGAGTATGTTAGGCCCAAGCCAATAGCTACCCAGACTAGAGGCCAGCCAGTCGACTTTTAGCTTGCTTGCTCAGCCTAGACTGCTGTTTGCTAGCCAGTAAAAATGTCAACTTTCACACAGTTAGCTAATTGCCTAACTGATTTCACCTTTTTTGGGAAGGGGACATGCTGGTGTTCTTCACGTATGCCCAGCAGCCTTGGTGATATCTCTTAGCCTCCTGGGTCACTTAAAACCAATTTAGCTCTTGAGTCATCTGGCACCCTTCTTTTTTTCTGAGTGTGCAAGACCTGTCAACACCTCTCCTGCTCTTCTTCTGCTCTTGGGTCGACATTTGATCTATTCATGCCTCAGCTGAAACATCACCTGTTCCTTGGCCGACTACTGTTATTTTTCTGGGTCGACTAACACCTCATCTGTTTCGAAAAGATGGATGATGCCCAAACCTAGGTCCCATCCTCAGACAGCTACATCCCTACATCTCTTTGCCTCATTTTCAATCGACACAAGAACAGTTTCTGAACCCAAGTCCACTCACAATTTACCGATTTCTGAGACAGTTCGTAGTTAGCATAGTATTCCCTTCTTCCTGAGTCAAAGTTTACTGACATCCCCGTATTACTAAGAGTCCTGAGACTTTGAGTCTGTTGATATTTCTTCTATTTCTAAATTGTTACTGAGTTGACAGCTTCAAGCATTTTGGATCCCATCAAAGGAAACACCTGAGCACTGTCAATTCTAGGGTGTTAAAATCACCAGGTTCCACATAAAGATGCTCCTGTATATCCCCTACCTTCCAAAAGTAATTGTTTACTTTCTCACGATAACTTTTTGTGTATTAGAGCAATTGGAAGCTTGCTTTTCAATCCCTTAAGCTGTGCAAGATCTTACTGCTTTATTAGAATCACAGAAAACATTGAAGTGAAGCTGATTGTTTTCTATACTGCACTATAGTGGAATGATCAGGACAGCTTTAACCTATTAAAGAGATTTAACACCTACCTGGTGATCCGGTGCTGTTTTTCACACCAGTGCTGTCTTGCCAGGACAGCTTTAAAGAGATCTCAAACCTTGTACCCGTATAACAGTTGCAGAGAGGCCAACACACTGAGGCCAACGCACACATACACCAATCTCATTCATTATTCTTGACTGCCAAGGTGTGACAATCCATCCAGCTCGCTTATTTATCAATTAACTACTTCAGGCTAAAGAAAAGATGTTTGATCTGCTAAAGGTCACTGCTAATAAATGCTGGTGCTTTGGCAGACATTAAAGGCAGGTCAAACAAATGCCTACAGTTCAAGTAGACCAGTTTCATAGAGCCCAAACTAACAGATCCTCATTAACTTAAAGCCAAATATTCCAAACCATGGAATCATGGCATAGCCACAAATTCTGCTTCAGTTTTCATACTTCAAATAGGATCCCAAATTGGCATGACATCACAATATACTCATGGTTATCATTAAGTTGCTCAATCAACCATGCTCATAGCTAAACAGTAGAACTGCCAGGATGATTTTGTAATCAGACTGATGCTAGCTGTAAGGCCGTGTTCCTTGTGCAACATTAAGTCACTTGGATTTATGTAAACCTCCTATGTGCACAGATTGGGCAAGGCTTGGTGGAGGAGCCATCTGTCGACCTGCTACCATAACAACTAAAATCCAACTAATACCACTCTACTCTAGTTTAAGCTATAAGAAAGGGAGTCCTTGAACATTTATTCCATTCAAAAGGCATTCTTTACAGCTTAGCAAGTCTTAATTAGTATTTTAAGACCATCTGAAGCTTGAGAGCAAAGAATTCATGAAAATTTTGTTACTAAACTATATTATTGCACCATACCTGCAAAGTATCAAATTCCCAGTTTTATTCATGCATACATTTACTTCTTAAAAAAGCTCAAATCAATACATAAAATGAAAAGTTTTTCTGCATTACATGCTGTACTAATGCCAAGGCTCCTATCGTTATCTTTTATGTTGAAACTACATGCACAGTATTATTTTTAAACATGCTGTAGGTTAAAACAGTAGTGGTATAATGAAATAATCAGATTTTCTCCAAAACTGCCTTCTTCAGGACAGTAAGCTTAAGAGGAGAGTTTCAAGGTTGGGAGGTCATAGTATAAAAGCAATAGGGAGTCCGTGATTGGCAGGCACTTACACTATCAACAGTGAAGGATTAGAGAGCACAGCAGAGACGACTCACTGTCAGAACCGAGGGCACGGTAAGTTAGCGTTTTTCTTGCTGACCTGCAGCATAATAGAATCAGATGAAGAAGGTATATGAAGAAGGTATCGGATCACAGTAACTGCACAGAACAGAGTCAGCATTTGTTGGAAATTTATCACGGTATTATTACATGGGAATATGTAGTTTTTATCAATATTTATATATCCGTTAACAAGGAGCGCATGGTCTGTGTCACGCTAGGTATTAGGAATGTTGTTTATTATGATTATGATCTTAAACTAACCATAAAATCAGAAAGATCCTTTCCTATTAGAAGTTATAGGGAACAACATGACTGTCGTTTGCCATAGTGTCATCAATGAGGAGCTTTCTAGCGTGTACTGTACCGGCATAATAAACTAAAATTGACACAGATAACCAAAGCACCTAATAGTTATAGCTTTTGTTACTATCTCGTGTTTTGAGCTATTTATGACTTTATTGTGTTTTGGGTTTTTTTGCAGAGTGGACCTAAAATTTTGCCATCGACATGTCCAAGTGAGTGTGAGAGGTTTAAGGCTTATTCATCAACAATGTTAATATTGTGACAGTTTTAGAGAGGTTAAAAATCAACCATCAAACTTTCAATATAAAATCCAAAAAGAACTTTAGGCAACCTGTTTAATGCAGTTAAATATGAATGATTTCTAAATAATTAATTAATTTTGATTATTTATTTTATAATCACGAAAAGTTGTTCATGAGGGATGAAAGCGATAATTAATTTAGAAGAAACAAGGATAGTAGATTGGATGTAACATCGTGACAGAAGTAGCTTCTACAACAACCTTAAAACTTCTTAATTGCCCCTTGGGGATAAATTAAGTCTTTCTGATTCTGATTCTGATTTATTTTATACTTTTTAGACACTTAAGAAAAAATCCTTATTAAGATGGATTTTGTGGATTGGAAAAGCATTAAAAGGATTATGTGGCATTTGAAAGCGACAAACACCACCAAGGATTACCTGTTTGTTTACTACATCCGCCCAGAACAAAAGGATTGCACTCTTGCACTCTACATATCTTGGGATAAATCTGGGTGTTAAATTTGCCAATTCTGCCACTACTTTTTGTTTTGTAGCATAAACAGCTATTTCATAAAATAGCCTGCCTAACCCAGTATTGATCCAAATATGTCATTTTCATATTTTATATGATGTTTAACTTTGTTTACTCAGCTTACCCAATCACACATCTTATGTTCAGATTAGACATTTGTAGCAGCAGGTTCAATTCGACTTTAAGCACTAATCCATCCTCACAGGAGAGGAGCAAGGGAGTTGATGGCAAGCGGGAGGTTATCCAGGACAAAAACTAGAAAAGTTGTAAGCGCACAAATATGTTATAGAAGACAACTTAGAAAATAGGGGGGAAAGAGCTCATTATTTATAATCAAGCAAAAAATAATGAAATTATGGGTCACTGCTCATTTAGACTTAACATCTTGTGTTTTTGTCTGCATGTGTTTTAGGGCCTTTTTTTTAGGACTTTCAGGTTCAAATACTCTTCAGATTCAGATTCTTTTCTTTTTTTTTTTCATTTCCAGAGTATTTAAGAAGACCAGTGGGAATGGAACTGTAAGTGGCTTCTACAATATAATCATTACAGGGCACCCCTTGAGCACAGGGAGGAGTGCAATTTGTATGTTGCTATTCCAACTTCCCGAAATAGCGTCCACATTTTTTTTAATCTTGTGGAGGAGTAACCGTTTTCCTTTTTCTTCATTTCATATAGATTGCCTTGTACTTGGGGAAAAGGGACTTTGTGGACAATGTGGATTCAGTAGAACTAGTTGGTGCGTGGCAAAACTGCATCCTGATATATGTGAATATATGAACTTATAAGAATCTCTGTGAAAGATCTAAGGCTGTGGATTGACTCTTCTCATATTTGCAGAAGGGGTAGTTAAAGTGGATCCTTCTGGTCTTAACAACAGAAAAGGTATTTTACTTTATAGTCTGCAAATCATAAAAGTTATAAGCGATGATTTACTGACACAGACTGAAACAACACATTTTTCCACTGTAGTGTATGTCTATCTTGCTTGTGCCTTCCGCTATGGAAGTGATGACTTGGATGTCATCGGACTGACCTTCAGAAGGGACATCTGGCTACATTGCGTTCAGGTGTATCCACCTACGGGTGGCAGCGAAGCTAAATCCCCAATGATGGAATCCCTCTTGAAAAAAGTTGGAGAGCAGGGGCACGCCTTTTCCTTCCAGGTCCAAACCCTTAATCTTTCTCTTTGCGTAACAACAAATAAATTATTTTCAATGCAAGGTATTTTGATTAACCTTAGATCATATCCCCGCTTTTATTTTAAAATCATTTTAAAGTGTAACGTTCATGTATGTGACTCATTTCTTCTTTTTCCAGATGCCACCAAATCTTCCATGCTCAGTTTCCTTACAGCCTGGGCTAAATGATTCCGGCAAGGTACAGTTACCATCCAGTGTTATTGTTTGCTTTCTTTAAGTCTTACACATTGTGTTAAATGTTTGGAAAAATTTATTTATCTGGATTTCGCCTTGTTGTAGGCTTGCGGTGTGGACTTTGAGATTAAAGCATACATTGCCAACGCACCTGACAATCCAGATGAAGTCATTCAAAAAAAGTATGTTTGTGCAGCGTCATTTTAAACCTTTCAGTCTTTGAGCTGTGTATGAAGGCCATGCATGGGTTATTCTCTTCCCTTTTATTTCCTTCTAGGGATACTTGTCGTCTGATGATTCGTAAAATACAGTTCGCCCCAGCTGACAACAAGGCCGGAGCCAAGGCTGATCTATCCAAGCAGTTTATGATGAGTGACAAACCAGTGCACTTGGAGGCTTCCCTTGAAAAAGAGGTACTTGAAAATATACCAAATGCATTTTTACCATTATAAATATTACATAATAATTGCTAAACTGTGTTTTAAAATCACTCTTTTCCAGGTTTATTACCATGGAGATCCAATAACCGTTAAAGTGCAAATCAACAATGAAACCAACAAGACTGTGAAGAAAATCAAAATCTCAGGTAAGGACCCAAATATGTCTGATCAGAATCATTTTTGTTTGTATAGTTTGAAGAGATGGGGGAAATATTTTCAAGGCATATAGTTTAATTCATACTTCTAACATGAACTATTTTTGTGTTAAGTTAACCAGCTCACAAGTGTGGTCCTCTACTCATCTGACACTTACGTCAAGGAAGTCTGTGCTCAAGAGTTTGGGTAAGGCGAATAATAACAGGACTCGAGTCATTTCTGGTTCAAATTAATGTGTCTAAAAAGTACATTATGTGCTGTAACTATCAGTGAATCTGAGGCTATAAACGACCCCCCCCCCCCACACACACACACACACACACACACCAATATTCCAATATGTCTGTATTTTATTGCTACTTAAAATGAAAAAGGCCCTAAGTAGATTAACTGAAAAAAATGAATACTAACCTAGTGTGAGTTCTTTTTCCCTCTATTTCACCTCTAAACACAGAGAGACCGTAAATGCCATCTCTACATTTGAGAAGTCCTTCCAAGTAACCCCCCTGCTTGCCAACAACAAAGAAAAGCGAGGTCTTGCAGTCGATGGACGTCTAAAAGATCAGGACACCAACTTAGCATCCACAACGCTGTAAGACTTTTAGGTCTCTTTTAGGTGAAGCTAGGATGGGCCTTCATCCTCTTTTTGAGCAGCAATGTTGTCACTATATATTCTGCCGTCCACTTATAGCACCTTAAACCAAATCCCCAAGGTTTAAATCGTAAACTATTCCCATCTCCTTGCAGGAGTCAAGGAGAGAAGGAGATGCAGGGAATTATTATCTCCTACAAAGTCAAGGTCACTCTTACAGTTTCGAGTGGAGGGTAAGGCTTAATAGAAAACACTAACCCATAACGCTTTCCTTTTTTTGTGCCAAACTGTGCAGACTAAGGGATTCTTTTATCATTTCTCTCTGACCATAGCTTGCTGGGTGGTTTGACAGGACGGTAAATATCAGTTCTCCTTCATTTATTGCCAGTTGTGTAAATGAATGCAAATTATTCACGAGTATATGTTAATCTGTAAAATGTTTAGTGATGTTGTCGTGGAACTTCCTGTGACACTGATGTCCCCAAAGCCTGCAGGTGAGTTCTGTATTTTGTAAACTGCTAGTGCCAGCTAAATTACCATTAAAATACTTCCTGAAATATCACTAAAAGTAGACAGTGGCTTTCTGTAACTGATCTTACTGTCATCTATATGCCATGCTCTCCCCTTTACTGCGTGCCATTACTGTGTACTGAGCAGAAGTGTAAGTATAAAGTATAAAATAGTCTCTATAAAAAGACGTGTATTCGCCTGTGGCAGTGATAATTGTATATGATGTTCATGTTTGTTTCTCATGAACAATTATGTGTTTTATGAACCACAGCAAATTGGATTAAATGCCTCTTTAGTTCAGGTTAGGTCAACTCAGATACAGTGAGTTGTGCAGTGTTCACTTCTTCAAGGGTTACTGCCACTCCTATAACATCCCTACACACTAATATATTAGATGATGACATAAAACACATGTTAAAGAACTATTTGGATAGAAAATTGCATGAATTGCAAAAGCGCAGAAGTGATGGCCTTTGAACAAGTGTCCTGTTTTACCCTTCAATCCTGTGTGAAAAATGAAATTTGAATCCTCTTGCTCCACCCCCAAGATCAATAATTAAAAGATCTCCAGTAGACATTAATAGCAGCATGTATGAAGATTTTTGAAAGTTGGGCAATATCTGAAAGTGTATGAGTCTGAAAAATTGCAGATGTTATAAATACAAAAGAAGGGGTGGCCTGCAATACTGT